TGTATATAAATGGAAGGAGCATATAATTACTTCAAGTCAAAAAGACTGTACATGCACTGATGCTATCAAAAAATTATCTTCTTCAATGAAAATATGTATGTCTTTTATCTTGGTCTTATGATCCGTTTTGACCTTTTATGCGACACCTGATTGATGTAATGAAGCACACTTTTACTTCTTACAGACAAATCATATTTTATAAAGTCTAATCTCGACACCAATAAGTCTCGACAAACATCTTCCACAAACATTCCCCAAACGAACGCAATGCACTTTTACATCTGAACTCAACACACACACGAGTAAAAAAAAAATGACACAATTTCAAAAGGGACTGGAAGAAGAAGATTAGAGACAGTCAATATAATATGCATATGTACTATAATAAACTGATAATGAACCTTCTCGTTAGCCCGTCTGTCGCCCGACATTACTTAACTAAAGGTACAATCCAAGTTTGAGCGATCAGGATCATTTCAGCGTTTTGTGACAAGTTTAGGTTCCAAACTTCCTCCTGGGTGCTACTGAATTTCAAAATATGCTAAATAGACACCAGGATTGACAGACATTTATCTTTATACATAGTATATAGGTTCCTGGGAGAAACTGATTTTTTTGTTTTTCCAATTTTAGAAAACGCTCCTTTTTTGAGTGTAGGATTGCAGGAAGACCATTAATTTTCTTTTTTTATTTACGGAATATATGAGTTACCATAAAAACAAAAGACTTAAAAAAATAAGAATGTGAACAGGAAATTTGTGCAGTGGACAGAGTAATTTTAAGAAATAAATTTTAATGAATAGGAAAAAAAATATACCTGTACATGTTTTAAAAAATAAATATGTGTAGATCTCTACTGAAGTGATTAGATACTACATGTTGTACATTTTCAGAAAATAGATCTCCAACTTAATCCAGAGACCAAATCCAATTGACACTAAACTAATTCCCTGCTTTTTTACTACATGAAGTTTTACCTTGGTGGCATTTGAAAAAAAAAATCTCTAGGTAGTAATCTGATGGATATATTTCAAATTATTAATCTTTTCCTCATAAAATCAAAAGAATATATAGATTTTGGTAGTGGATTCAGGAATTTCATGACAGGAGGCACAGTAAAAAGCAGGACGTCTGGGGACTGCATCATAATTTGATGCCCCCAACAGGTCCAGAGCAAAGCTGTGGTGTGGCAAACCCCCTATAAGCTAATAAATTTTTACAAACTGAAGGTAAATAGTACATGTTTAACAAACACAATTTCAAGGGGCTTGGTTGTTTGGTGGGGCAGGGACAACAGGGGTAGGGGGTGGGGTGGATTGATGCCCTCATGCTGGATCTGCCTTTGAATTTTTCTAAAATTATTTACTTTTTAATACCGATACATGTATCAATCAATTTATCTTTATAAACTTTCAATTATATTTAATATTATTTATGTCTGGGAGTCCAATGTCATTTACCTTTGTACAATATACATTTATTGCATGACAGTGAGGGAAATATGAAGACTTATTCAGCCAAGAAAAATCATATTCCCCGAGGGCTTAGCCCGAGGGGAATATGATATTTCTTGGATGAATAAGTCTTCATGTTTCCAGAACATTCATGCAATGAATTGTTTATTATACCGAAACAAGCAAAACCTTTGAAATAAAACATAAACTTTCAAATTCCACACCTGTCTCAAATTCATTTTCATTTTTTACATAAAGTTACTAATAAAACCCTTTGCTCAACACATTATCATCAGTTTTGTGACGTCAACCAGGCTATTGTGACGTCTACTTCTCTCGGGAGTTTTCGTTGAAGGAACGAGAACTTTGTTGCGGGAAAATACACAAGGTGTTCCGAAGAGGTGGAATATAATGAAAAGCGTGCCGATGGCCGGGAAATATAAAGTTTTGCGGCCTGATCACGTGACAACTTAGAACTAATCAGATAATGCGTTGTTTAGAATATTTATAATGAGGTATAATAATATATATTGAACATAATGAATATAGGAATGCTATAACTTTTATAGTTGTGTTTCATATAGAACATGATAAACAGCAAACTCTTCACACACGAAACACAACTTTAATCCATTGTTAACAATACTGTATTAACAGCTAAATAGGAATTAAACTGCTATAGCCTTAAGACTACTTGACTTGATTCCGTGTTATTAAAACACCCTCACCTAATACAAATATGCAAACAGATTGAAAAATTCATATCGCCATAACAAAACATAGCAATAAACATAACCCTTTTTTAAGTTTCAGGGTTTTCAGGTCATGGTTTTTGGGGTTCCACAGCAGCATTTCTGTTATATATAACCATGTTAATAATGAAATAATTTAAAAAAAAAAAAAAAAAAAAAAAAATTCAATGTTTACAAAAAAGTGCTTAATAAAAAATTAAGATATAAATATGATCAAATGTATTCAAAAAAATTTTTAAATGACTAAAATATCAGATTTGAGGAATTTAAAGACTTTACATGTAGAAAAGGTGTCAGTCAAGCTGGAAGCTTCTATTGCTTTTTAAGCCGACATATTTCTTTCCAAAAATTTCACAATTCAAAGTTCAAGACATCCAGCTTCATGTGTATTTCTGATACCCCTTTTATTTGCAATTTCTAGATATGTAAGTGTACATGTAAATTTTATGATATTTCAATAACATTTAGCCAGCCTATGATATATTTGCCTGTTCCATCTTTTTTTTAAGTACAAAATGTGAAAATGTGTTTACATTTCTGATTAAACAGATTTTTGTTTTAAAATGATTTGAAATGCAGGCATTGCAAGGTGTACTTCTATAATTTTTTTTTTCCTTAACAAAATGCACTAAAATGACATTGAAGTAAACGTTCAAGGGACTCGCCCAAAAAATTCTCTCGTGTTGCCTCATGTAGGTACACTGCCAAAAAAAAAAAACCTTAACGACTGGAGCGTGTAGTCACGAATGACAAATCTTTTATATCAGAAAAGTGAAAGAAAAAAATAAATAAAACGGGATCCTCTCTCTCTCTCCTTCTCTCTACCTGGGCAGGCTAAAAAGATTTCGATAGAGAAGAAAAAAGACAGGACACGCTTCACGGCACAGTTTAACAAGAAGACACTACAATTGTAGGTCATCCTGGAGCAGAACAAAGATCAAATATTTAAATCGCTCGCGAGGGCAAACGACACAATACCTCGCTCTTGACTGTTCCGTCAAGAAAAATATTTGGATTTCGTGGTGTATTATCAACTTAAAGAGCTAGCAGTTTATATTGGGAATAAATCTTGGGGTCTTGTCTTTTTAAAAAAATACTTAACACAGACTTGACTGCATTTAGGAGAGAAAATATTTGTGAATGTTGAGTCGATAATTAGGAGATATCTCTCAAAATAGTCATGGGCTAAGTGAGGGCCCTTAAAAATTATCAATGATCATTTCATAGACAAATTGACAATAATAGGTCAAAAATAGGTGTATGTGAGACTACTTCACTTTTATCTTTTCAAGGGTAAAAAATACCTTAATTTCTAATCAATTCTCTGATCACAAACTAAAGAAAATATTAGGGGTGAAACGATACGCCTCCTTCACGGTTCGATACGTATCGAAAAATTTGGTCTCGGTTCGGTTATTTTCGATACGATACATTTTGATAGAAGGAAACAGATTCAATGTTGTTTTATGCTACCTTTTACTAAATCTAGTAAAATAATTTATGTGCAAAATGGATAGAATGTATCAATTTAATTGATTGACTGTTAAAAATTATTTTAAAAAACTTCAAGTCCACACAAACTTACATTTCTGAACTAAATTATACAGAAAAGCATTTTATACCTTATGCCAAACCCGACTGAATGACGATCCCGACCGTAAAACAAACCGAACCGAAAGCAGAGATTTTGTACCGTGTATCGAACCGAGAAAAAATACCGCGGTGAACCGATACCGCGGTGAACCGTTTCACTCCTAGAAAATATATATATATTCTGCGACTGTAAGACAATTTCTCAAAAAAAAAAAAAAAACTGAGCAATTTCTGATTTGATGAGGGAATCATTAGTGAAGAAAAATTAACATTTAGGTAAAACTTCCAAAAGGGAAAGACCAAAGGGGCATAATGCACTGATGGATTTAGCTTACAGGGAGCTGAGTGGGTTTTTAAAATTGATGTACGATTATACACTCTCAATTTCAAGATTCCCACTCGCAAGAAGAAAAATTCTGGGATCCACCTACTCAAGGGAAAGCCATAATGGACAAGCAACAATTCTTCTAAAAGGAAAACCACTCAGAAAAAAGAAGTGTTTTCGTTACCTGATATGTCACCGTCAAAATGTTTTCTGCATGAAGGTGTGAGACCTGTTTCCGTGGAAACTGTTTCCATAGAAATATCACTGGGCCAATCAATTCCTGAAATTAAAGAAAAGAAAAATTAATATATGACATCTATAAAGATTTTTAAGCCTTTCTGTAACAATGTTTTCCTTTAATTTCAAAATATTTACATTTCCAATGTCTTTGTCCGAGATAACATTACAAATAGCTAATGTACTTTATTTCTCCATCAATGTACTGGTTCATCAATAGGCGAGGTTAAAAAAAAAAAAAGTGCAGGGTGGGATAAATAGCTAGACAGAAGCAGGGCTTGTAACACGTGGATTGGCAGAATCAAGAGCATGTAAATATAAGGAATAACTGTCAGATTTTTCGATTTCATGATGATGCTCAATCGACTGGCTTGCATGATAATTACGCCTATGCAAGTTATCACGCAAGCCAATCGATTGATCACACCATGAAATCAAAAAATAAGACAGTTATTCCTTGAGTAAAGGGTTAGGTGGAGGCATAGGCAAATATTCTCTGATGACCTTACTACAAACACATGTACTTTTTAAGTTGTTTAGATGCAAATTTAACAATTAGTTCATAATATCCCATTTATCTGGGTGTACATGTAACTTTTCCACACAAAAGTCTTTTCAATATAATTTTCATTAAATAATTTTTAAGCTGTAAAATGCTTCTTATTGCAGATATACCATATATGGTGATTGAATCCTGTCTTATGCACTAGTCAGTTTGCAATAAAGTACTTAATTTTGATAGTCGTCCATGTGGCGCAGTTGTTAGAGCATCAGAGTCAAGATATCTGCATGTTCAAGATACCAAAATTAGGTACTCAACTGCCAACTGACTAGGGACAAGACAGGATTTGATCTAAAATGGTCACCCACTCTGGCACATGGTGTAGTGGTTAGAGTATCTGCTCTATAATCGCGAAGTTGATTCTTACGTCGCTGGCTCGAATCCCACTGTGGGATGTGGAGACCAGTCCTTCGGATGAGACCGTATAAGCTGAAGTCCTGTGTCGCAGTAGATGATGCTGGCACAAAAAAGATCCCTCCCTGCTCAATGGCCCTGAGATTCTCAAGAGGGACGTTAAACAATATACAATCAATCATAGATATCAAAATTCAACTTTACTTTTTTGAAATGGTTACTACCATTATTACCCTTGGACAATCCAATCTCCATAAATATGGAAGCCAAATAGCCAATAACTTTTCTTCCCAGAAAAAAAAATTAGGGGGGAACAGAATGATAATATGAGTACATGTATACAGGTCCATTTCAAGAATCTGTACACTTTTTAAATCTGCAGTCCTGTTCATAAATAGAATCAAAAGCATCTAGATCTGGACTTGAAATCATAGCCAGCCAGATGGTCTGAAAATCTTGGATACTGTATACAGGGTTATTTTCACCCCATGTTATTTTCGCCCGTTTCACACTTGAAAACAATTTTGTCCCATTTTATATTCGCCCAGTTTTGTTTAAGAAATAATACAGTATTCTTTGACTTTACCTCGTTTTAAATTCGCCCAAAGAAGGATCGGGCAAATGGGGCAAAAATAAAACAGGGGCGAAAAATTTCCCTGTATACAGTATTGTTCTGTTGTTGTGCTATACATAATGTATCAAAATTCTGTCATTAAGAGAGTTGTGTCCAAATTGTAATGATTCAAGTCGTATCAAAATTTTGGTGTTATAGGTTGTACTATGAAGTAACACAATGTAAACAAAACATGATCATTCTCAGAATGAGTTGTCTTGTTTTAAATCTGAATGATTGCATGCTCAGTTAACATAGGAGAATAAATGCAAACTTGGACATGTTTAAGTGATTTAGAAGTCACACTTTTTTCCCCTAAGTATATTGAACACTGAAATTTCATCAAGTTTGTTTTTCTTGGTCCCATCAAGTTTGAGACAGAGAGGTTCAACTGTACATACAGTAAAACTTCGTTATCTCGAAACTGATAGGGCTGATGAGACAAAACTTTAAAATATCTGAGAATTTGAGATATCGAGGGTAAAATACTTAAAGAATATGTGGATGGCACTTCCGCACCACTTCGACATATCCATGGAATTCGAGAAATTGGAGTTTAAGATATCGAAGTTCAACTGTATATGTACTTGCTCAGTGAAACACATTGTCTCAAGTTACATATAGCTCTCTCCTACCCGTGGCTGCTTGATCACAAGCGTAATCTTGAATATTTACGCCTCTCTATTGTGACGTCATATTCAGTCAGTGGCAAGTTTTGTTTCCATTGCAATTGAAATCAACAACTGACGTCAACAGTATGCAAGAAATATTTCCTTTACTGCAATTGGATATTGAAAGGTCGCGATAAATTTCATCTACCGACTATGCTTTACTCGCATTGGTCAAAATTTTAATGAGCTACGAAGAATTCTCTCCTCATTCAACCACTGCCAGAATGGGAGAGGATCGTACATTTTGGCCGTGGTTTGCGACGATGAGTGAAACGAGGAATTTTCTCAACTGGCCAGTTAAAATTTAGATGGCCCAAATAACTAGCAATAACATCATTATTTCTAGCTCTGCTATATATTTGTAAGCTTACCTGAGGTAAGAGAATTTGCTTTGTCAGCACAATATGAAGATTCTGAAATTATATTAAAAACATTCAGTTAATTCCATCTTAAATGAATTAAAATGAAATAATGGTAGTTCTGCAGTTCAAAGCAATAAAGCTCCTTTAGTTTACTTTTTCAGTTTTCAATTGTGAAAACTTGCATGTCATATAATGTATGAATGCAGAGAAATAGTCAAATTAATTCTGAAGAAATGACTCCCTTACATGTATGAAGATGATGATGATTTTTAAGCTCTGACTTTTACATCTTCAAATTCTAGCTATTGTCAACATTTTCTCTCGCCCCCTTTTTCCAACACCCCTCCCCTTTTCTCCTTCCCTCAGTCTTCAATATACATTTACGTCTTTTTTCCTAACCATTGCTTTTGATGCTTTCCACAAAGTTTTATTTTCTTCACTTTCATCATGTTCATACCCTTCTCACTCTCTTTCTTGTCTGGCTATAACTGTTTTTTTTTTCTCCTGAGACCAAAAAAAATTTTACCCTCTATTTTTCTCTGTCTCTCTCTCTGTTTTGTCTCTTCTTTTCTCTCTCTCTCTTTCTATTGTTTCGTACCTTTTATCTTCTTAGAACTACAAGTTCTATCATATTTCTTTTTTTTTTGCCTTTCCCTTGAGACATGTGTACCTCCCCCCTTCCCCCCTCTCAGATTGTCATGTTTGTCTTTTCTCTTTCTTATCTCTAGCTACTCTTGCCTAGGGACTTTTCTTATTTCTTTTTTCTCCTTGAGTGTCAACCTCTAATTTCTCTGTCTCTCCCTCTTTTGTCTTTTCCTTTCTTTCTCTCTATTTCTACCTTTGTCTTTTTCTATCCTGTATTTCATTTTCCTTGAGACAAAGGGAACCTCTCTTCTCTTTCTTTCTCTCTCAGTTGTCCCGTTTGTCTTTTCTCTCTCTTATCTCAGTCTTTCTTCCACCTCTCTTTCTCCCCCCTGGTTTAGCCCCCCTCTCTCCATATCCCTGATATCTGTCTTAACTTTCTACCTGTGCCCCCCTCTCCTAAACAGTCATTTATCAGCATGCCTTTTAAACCAACACAGAGAATACGCTTTCCCAAACATTAAACAGCAGTTAAGGCCTACCTAATACACCAAGTGAGAGACCTTTAAAACTGTCTTCTGTTTACACAGAACAAGCAAGAATTCCTCTCTCTAGTCCCCTATAACAGGGTCTCTACATCCTGTGTCAACAAGCAGTATGACTTTATTCCTTCAACGTGACCTTCACAGAGGTGGATCCAACATTTTAGGGTCCCTACACCCTGTGTGTCAACAGGCAATATGACTTTATACCTTCAACATGTTCAACACTGAACCAATCCTGACCTTCACGGTGGTGGATCCAACATTTTAGGGTCCCTAGACCTTGTGTCAACATTCAACAAGCAATATGACTTTATCCCTTCTACACTGAACCAACTGTGACCTTCGAAGGGGGTGGATCATACTTTTTTCAGTTGGAAGGAGAATAAAATTTTCAAAAAGGTAAATAGTCAAACATGAAAATTGTACTAATCTATGTGTTTTTAAATGTGTGAAAGGAGGTGAAGGGGGGGGGGGTCACTGCATTCCCGTTTCCTTTTAAAAGGTGAATTCTTTCCTATAACAATGAACATGATGGAAACACTACTTTTTTTTAAATTGATACGACTTTTTTAGAATCCTTTATCATGTCAGATGATATTTTTAAAAAACTTTCCTTGTTTAAAGGGGAGGCAGACTGCCCTCGGGTCCCCCCCCCAGGACTTTACCCCTTCATCACTGCATCAGCCCTTCACTTTTCCTTTTACAATCATTTCAGCATTCCAGGTTCAACTTGTTAAAAATTTGACATTATTCATCGAAAGAGAGGGGTTATCATTAAGTCTCTGGTGAGGGTTTACATATTTTGTGTTTACTGGATGGGGATGCGTGTGTCTTGGAGGGGTCTCCCTTTTACAGAAGGAAACGTGTTTATAAACTGAGAAATGGGAACAAGATTTTGAGTTCTGCCTGGTGCATTCAGAATTAATTTTTGTTTACCTCTATACTGTTTCAGTTTCATACTAATTCTTGCCTCTCTTGCTGTTTCCTCTATTCACTAATCACTTGATCATGTTGATGCAAAAAGTGGATACTTGAGTTAATTTTTATCTATTATAGTGATTGTGCACAAGAAGCTTTGGGTAAGGGTAAGCCGTGTGCTTGCTCCAAATTATATGAACACATTATAGCAAAGCTTTTTAAGGTCACTCTGTACGCGACAAAATTATTCTAACTCTTACTTTATTTTCTGAGCATTACCGTTTTTGTACGTGTTCATCATGTTTTGAGATGTTCTTTGAATACCAAAAGAGCATAGATGCTTTATATCACTAAGAGCACAAACTAAGAAGATGAAGACAGTTTTGGAAATTTGCTTTCAATGGCCTAATTTTCTTGGATTGATTAACCTTTCAAATCTGGCTCGACTACAGAGATGGAAACAGATTTGTGTATCAAAAACGTAGAATTCTCCTCAGAGAAGTGGACAGGGTTTTGCTTTAATCAGCTGTTAATCCATGGCAAATATATACATGGAGCACTAAAACACTGCTGTAAATGGGTTCAATGTTAAACAACAGTACTATAAAAAGCCACTTTAGAGATTTGATTTTAATTTAAATTTTAATTTCTTTATGCACAAATAAACCTTACCCAGATTGTGACCTTATCAACATGGCACAACCATCCTCCCAATGCTTGAAATGACCAAAATTCCTTAATTTGATCCATTTCAAAACATTTCACAAAGCATCAACATGCTATGTCTACAAATGCAAATACTCATCATTGACCTAGATATTACCCACATAGATCCATTGACCAACATTCACATAACAACAACAGGATCAATTCCATGCTACATAGATAAGATCAATGCATTCTGCATCCACACATTCAGTTGACCTACAGAATTCTAGGATGTTTATTCACACACTTTCATACATGATATTCACAGTATCCACAAACACATACAAAATCTTAGTAGATACCCCCTCCAATTCTTGGTGCTATATTCAGCATCCTGGGACACGGGGGCCAGATTTCTCAATCAGGCATATTAAATGACAAAATCCCCGGTAACTATGGTACACGTATGTATTCCATCTTAACCCCCTTGCTAGGAGAGGAACCCCAGATCCCCTTTTTCTTTTTACGTCCCGCTGCTGTTTTAATACCTCGGGGGTAGGGACAACCCTGTTTATCGATATTTTAACCTTGGACACCCCAGAACCCCTTCTTTTTAAGTCCTACTTCTGTTTTGATTCCTAGGGTCAGTAGAGGCTGGTGATAATCCTGTTTATTCATTATTTTTTACCTGGGACACACAATTATTACCTGCAGTTTGTTGTATACTCCAATGATGTGGATTGCAACAAACGTACAGCGGATCTTTATCCGTTTCACAACACGGCAATTGCCGTAACGTCGTGTCCAGTGTCAGGTCGGGCCAACGCCAAACCTGACAGCACAGAATATGAGGGTCCGTCGTGTGTTTCCCCATTTTTAATTCCACATTGGGAAGCAACACACATTGAGTTTGTTCCCTGCCCTTCGACTCTATGCTTCGGAGCAAAATTTCCAAGTTTTTCTCCTTGAGGCGTTTCAACATAGAATGAAGGACTGATTTGCTTTCGTTCGCTTCTTTTTCATTTTGACTTTCGGAGTCATTTTGTGTTATTCGCAGTTTCCAGAGCTCGCGTACTAGTGTCGATCTCTTGGAACGAAACATATAAGTCTCGGAATACCCCTCTTCCGGAACATTGGATATTGTCCTATATTCACTAATGGTGAAGGTTTGGTGGATACGAACACATAAAGCATAAAATTCCTGCGTGTTTCTGAAAGTAATCACACATTTTCCAAAGAATACTTAATCCACGCTTGTTGGCGAAACATCTAATGGTCTGTGCTAATAGTCGGCGTGTAATGTATAAATTTATCACATGTTGATAGCAAGAAAAATCCTCATGAATCTTTAAATTCCATTGAAAACATAAACACCGACTCTCTATCTTGTTGAAACTGCTTGCATGTGCGTAAATTATCCAAGAGCTCTCCCGTATCAAAGCCACTAAAAACAGAAGGGAGAAAAAATTTTGGTATTTAAAAAAAAAAAAGAATTCAGTTTAAATTGCAATCAACTTTTCAACAGAAGAGTAAAAAAACTTAACCTGGGCGAGTCCATTTCAAATAGCTTAGGGGGTTGTTAACATGCGTTCATTAACTTATATATCTTTTAATATTTTACCTGGCTGCTCCAAAATATTCACAACTCTAGCATTAACAGGCAATCACAGATGAAGAAATGGCTAGGTATTCCAGATGAAAAGGGCGAACTTCTTCGAATGTTCACGGGATATCAAGATATGTCATGATTTTAACAAACAAAACACCATGTCTCTACTTTATCGAAATCTTAGTCTCTCCATTGAAACACACAGGTACGACTATTTACCGACGAGGCGAGTTATTTAGATAAAATGCGTTCTGATTGGTCGAAGGCTACCCACGTGACGAGTCTAGACTTTTTGGCGCGGCTTCGTGTCTGTTTGCGAGTTATAAACTATGTTATCGTGCAGGCGATCA